CCTCCTTCCTCCTCATCTCTAACTTATCGCTCTTTCCCAGATACTTCCCAGAGATGAGACTGCGACTTACCATCTTTGGGACCCCTGTGCCTACTTAATGCATTCTATTTCAGAGTTCTGTTTTGAAGAGTCAAATCTCTCCCCATGCCTAACACCACCTCCCAAATGTTTTTTTCTTAAAAATAAGCCCCATATTCTATATAAATGATGGCTGAATGACTGGATAAGGTGAACTCAGAAAAGTCAGAGGCCAAGCAATTTGGCCAGTAGTAGAGTGTGAGAACACACGCGCCATCTCCAAGACCTTCAGCAGGTGCCTCCCACGGAAGCCCACACAGCAAGCCAGGACGACAGGCCCTTCATGACTTTGAAGAGTGAACAACTGAACTGACTGAGCCTTTAGGTTGATTCAGGAAAATTCTGGATGGGATATGAAGTCTTGACTAGTTTTTAGGATGGTTGATCATCAGTTAGAACATGGGAGATGCATCCTACAGGGCCCTCATTGCTTTTGCTCACCAACCTGGTAAGTTGGTATCTAAGACAAATATTTTCCATTGGTTCCAGTTTATAGCTGCTTGCAAGGTCAGAGATCTTATCTACTGTTCTCAGATCTCAGTCAGAGAAAGACAAGAAACAGGAGTTCCTTACCTGGTGCTCCAGGACAGCCAGCTTCTCCCATGTCACCTTTGTGCCCAGGAGGCCCAGGAGACCCAGGGACACCATCCTCGCCCCTTCTGCCATCCTGCCCCGGCTCTCCTTTGCAGCCTGCACAGAAGTTCATGGCAATGGTGGTGGGAACAGTCAGGGCACCTGCTATCATTTGCCACATACATACTGTGTCCCAGCCCGGGCTTCATCCTGGACTAGACCATAGCAGCATGGCTAGTCTTCCCATGACGTTGGGATTATACTGTCTCTACTTTGCACTTTGGAAACTGAGGATCCGAGAGGTCAGGTAAGTAGCCTAATGAAGTCAATGAATCAGTAAAGGGTTGGGCAGATTTGAAGCCAAACCACGGAAGCATTGAGAGAAAGGGTTTTCTCATATTTTTTATATCCTTGTACCTTTGCTCAAAAAAAAAAAAAAAAAAGCCAAAATAACAAACACTCAATAAACCTGCGGTTTTTATAATGAACTATTACTCTAATAATGATATTTTTAAGGCCTGGGTGGGAGAATGAACGGCATTTATTAGGATTCAGTTGGGGGTCACGTTAAATTGGAGCAAGAGCAGCAATTTTTAAAAAATTGTCAGAGAGGCACAGACGGACAGGAAAAAAAGGGCCCTCCCAAAGGGGCGTGGTTACACTGGAATCCTTTGTCCCTCATTTTCCGTCTGCCAAGGTTTTAGCATGCACGCATACTGCACCGGTGTTTTTCAAGCTGCTACGGCTGATTTTGAATTGCGGCCAGTCAGCCACGTGGAACCCAGCTTCTCTAACCACTTAAGCTAAAGAGCAGCAATATTTATTTATTTGTCTGTTTATTTACTTATTTGACTATAGGGTGTGTGTGCACTTGCCAGAGAGAGAGAGAAAAAGAGAGAAAGGGAGAAATCACTCCCGAGAAATCACTGAAATCCCCTGTCTTCCTCTCTCCTCTCGGGAATTCTGGACACACACACACATGTGCCCAGCGTGGCTTCAAGCAGCCAGGTCTTGAAACTGAGAACTGGAACTACGGAGTGAGCCACGTGAGGTTCAGCTGCCTTAACTTCCATGCTACCTGCTTGCCCTGTCAGTTTTTATAAATACCTTTAGCATCTACAACGTGCTAGGTACCACATTACCCCCTTCACATGGATTATCCAGGTCAGTCTTCCTGTCAGCTATGTAACCAGGAACTCTTGTGCAACTTCTTTCAGTGGGGAAACAAGTTCAGGAAAGTCCCGGAGCCAGTCAACATGGCCAGGGAAGAGGAGAGGTGCCGTGCGGTGAGGGCAGAATCTGTCCCATCAGCCACCATCCCTCACCTCTTGCCAAGCTACGGAACTCGGCTGTGCTCCGTTAGGTGCCTTGGCAGCAGCCACACTGATTCTTGAGGGTCTTTTTAAAAATTTTTTTATTATCATCATAATCTTGCCTATATTACATTGAATCACATGTAACTTTACAGTGTATTACATTTCTTTTCCTAGAAGGAACACCATGCATATCAGTCAAGACAGAGACATTCAAATCCCCATTTCATCATCCAGTAGCTTTTCATTTTTTTTCCAGATTACTATTATTATTATTAAATGCTCACTTTTTCCTTTTAGGTTTTTGCCTTATGGTGCATGTGCTCTCTGGAGAGAGACAGTGAGACAGTGAGAGGGACAGTGAGAAATCCCCACCTCTCTGGATTTGGGGCATACGTGCATATGTACCTGGCATGGTTTTCAAGTCACCAAGTCCAGGACTCAAACTGTGGTCGGGCAAATGGGAGTCCAGTGCCTTAACCACCACACCACCTACTGGCCCCCTGGATTAATTTATTTCTAGTAGAGCAGCTGACACCAAGACAATCATTGGTGAATGTGGTAGCTGACTAAATTACAGTACACAATCACATAAGGCAATATTCTGCAGCCACTAGGAATGATATTCTAGGAAAACTGATGACACAGCTGTCATAGCACGTCAACAAGAGCAGTTTGCCAAAGAGTAGGCATAGGATGATCTCTTTTTAAACGTATGTGCAGAGTGCCAGCCACGGCATGGTGGTTAAGGCAGCTGGATCCCACGTGGCCCACTGCGTGGTTTTAGTCCTAGACCCAGTGGCTTGAAAAACACACTGGGTACATGTGTGCATGTGCCCAAAACCCTGAGAGGAGAATGGAGGAGAACAGTTGTGTGGCCACCCTCCTTGGCGAGGGGAGTGCTTTCTCACTTTTTCTTTTTCTTTCTCTCCAGTATGTATAAGCACCCTATAGCAAAGCAAGAAAAAGGAAAGAAAAAAGAAAAAAGTGCAGAAACAAAACCGAAAAGCTATTCAGCCATTGTATCTTTTAATGTGCTTATGTTTTTGCACTTTAGTAATAAGGGACCTTTTTTCCCTTTACTAAATGACTCCCCTAGACAAATGGTACCATCTCCCATCTCCTTCCACACCTCTCCCTACACAACGGTTCACAACATCAGGTGGTCCTGCCCCCTAGGGGACATCTGCCAGTGTCTGGAAGCATGTTTCCGGTGGGTCACGCACAGCCAGTTTTGCTCTGCAGTTAACACTGGAGCACATTCACGTATGCTCTTGGTGCCAGCTTCCTCGCTGCACGCCAAGGATGCAGTCACGACAGGGGTCATCTGGCTCTGAATCGAAAAAATGCTTACTCTGAATCTTCACAGAAAACAGGTCCAACCTCTGTTTTAAGGGGATGTACAGAGTAAACAGGCAGGGACATACACCAGTGGTGACCCAGATGTGACTCAAGGACTCTAGAAGAAACAGCTCCAGGGGACGGGGGAAGGACACCAACTCTGCCTTGGGGTCTCACAGAGAAGACTCCAGAGAGGGTGACTTTGAGGTTGAGACAGGACTGACAGCTCAAGGGAAAGGCGCGTGGGCAGAGAGAACAGCGTAGGAATGCTTGGAGGAGGAAGGGGGTGTGGTGCCCACGGGGGTTAAGGAATGGGGGGGCGGGGGCTAGTGTTTGAGTTGTAAGAAATTGGCCCTGAAAGAAGAAAAGGAAGAGTTGTAGGAGTTTTATGTGTTCTTGAAGAGAATGGCGAGGCTCTGGAGGGCTTAGAACAGATACAGGGGCTCAGATACTGGGGCACGTGTCTCACTTTGCTTCGCTCACCTGCACACAGCTCACCTCTTACAGCCACCTGAACTGCATGTCCCTCACTGCTTGTGAAGCTCCATTCTATTATCACCGGCCTGAGAGCGCCCTCCCTTCTGTCCCCACAACCAGCCAGTCTTCCCCTCAGAGCCCTGAGCTGGTCCGCCTGCATTCAGTGTGGGTGTTCAATGTGCCGCCCTCAGGCTTCGTGCCCTTGGATTGGAATGGATTCTTCTGGGGTGCTGGCTTTGCCTGGACCACAGCCCACAGTCCCATGGTTGCCACGAAGGCAGTGGGAAAGGACACAGCTCTCCTGGGTGGGAGGAGCACTCTGCGTCCTAGTAACTGGGCAGAAACCTCGTCTTCGCAGACGGTGCTGCTGGGTGCTAGCTGGCACATCTCTTTCCACCAGCTTCCGAGAAGTATCAGTGATGTCGGCAGGAACAGGGACCCGGCTGTGGGCTCGGAACATTCCTTTATCTGTCCCACCCGACAGGACGGTTCCAACATTGCAGCTAGCCAGGGCCGCCCGAGTGCCGACAGCCCTTGCGGGTTTATCGGCTTATGGGTTTAGACGTCCCTCTCTCAGGGGCCTGGCGGCACATTCCTGTAGATGTGCAGGCGGACAGTGAGATCACTTGTTCTGGGAAGAGGCCCCGCTCCAGCTGTTTCATGTAGGCTTTGCTCCCTTTAGGGTCAGACGAGAGAAACCATCAGGTGGATGGTGTTTCTTGAGAGGCAGGAAGAGAGGCTTTGGTTAACCTGAGCTCTCTGCCCAGGGCTTTCCACTACTCCGGCTCTATACTTAGAACTTGCTTTAAGGAATCAAACTACATCTGACAAGCCCTCCGATGTGGGATGGATTACCTCCTCTGAGAGTGTCAAGTATTGACTTGAAGATAAACAGAGCCCTAACAGGCTGCAGGTACGTCCATTAGGCAGGAACAGTTCAAAGCAAAAATGGAAACCACCTTCGTGTTCACTCTGGGAAGCCTGAGCCTTTGAGCATCACCCTGGAAGGAGAAACTGTAGATCAAAGGGCTCTGTGAGCTGGGAAGTGTTCGGCGTCCGCAGCGGAGGACTCCTGACAGACAGAGTTAGGCTGAGCGTGGCTGTGAACCACTCCCACTGGGCAGGGACAAGCCAGATGTTGGTTTTTCCCTTTGTAGGCTCTCAGCAGCAACTCTTGGTTGCAAAATCAGCTTAGTAATGAAAGAGAAGGTTTAGAAGGGAAAACAGGAAGGTACTAATGGCATTTTTTTTTTTTTGGAGAGGTTTTTGCTATAGGGCTTGTGCGCTCGCCAGGCAGACAGAGAGAGATAGAGAGACAGAAAGTGAGAAATCACCCCTCGGGGGGATGGCCACATCGCAATCCCTTCTCCTACATTCTCCTCTTGGGATCTTGGGCACGCACACACAAGCGCCCGTTGTGAGTTTTAAGCCACCGGGTCTGGGACATGAACTGCGGTCGACTACATGGGAGTCCAGTGACAGCCATTACGCTAACTGCTGGTCCCACCAATGGCATTTTAAGTGGAGGTTGTTCTTTCTAGTGGCAGTTACTTCTTCACAACCAGCCTTGAGAGTGACATAGGCAGCCCCTTGGACCTGACTAACAGAGTCACCTTCAGAAAAGAATAAAACCCAGCAAGCACTGCACATAACCCAGGTTAGGGTCACCTCGGGCCCTTTAGTAACTGGTCAGCGTAGGCCATACAGCCAAGGTGGCCAGTGGCATAGAAAGGGAAAGGGACCAAGGAAAACATTGTGGGGGAAGAGAGATCCTTCGTAACAGGAAGCTAGAGGCTCATATCAGAAAATGGGACCCCCAAGGAAAGCCATGGCTCGGGAGTGAGTGTATGTATGCCAAGGCACAGAGGAGCCTCAGGAAGGCTGAGCCGCGAGTACCACAGGCCACCCTGATGGCCCACTCCTTCCTTATGCAGGAAGAGAGGGTGACGATTTGCCAGAAGGACTGAGCCTCTTCTAAAATGAACAGCGAACGATCACATTTTATAGCCCACAGTTGGCCTTTAGTGCCCCCGTTGCCAGCAGAGAAGGTTGGTGACATCAACAAACCAATAAGGAGAAGTTACAGGAGGCCAGAGAAAGCCCTCCTATGGCTGCTGCAGGTGGGTAAGCCCATCCCACCCCAGGCCAAGAGGAATTCCCAGTAGACCAACCCTCTTTCAGAGTCTACCACCTATGGAGAGTGAATCTCGCACTTGCCCAAGATAGTAAGTCAGCGTGTACCGCACCCATCTGGTTGTTCCCTTCTCAGCTACTTCCTTCCTTTTCCAAAGCCACTTCAGTGAGAGAGCCCAGCCGCCCATCTGTCTCAGTGCTGACGCTGGGCTGTCTCCACCCGGCCGTCTGCCCAGTCGTCTGTGGACACTCAGGAACACTGACACACGAGAGCCCCGCGCCCTCCACATTCAGCAGGTCTAGAATGAAGCCCAGGCACCAGTATTTTCTCAAGCTCCTCCAGGTGACTTTAACCAAGGGCTAGATCTGCGTCACTAGAGAATGTATTACTTTGAGCTGCTGGCTTTTTATTTATTTCTAATGACCAGAGAGTGTATGTGCCTGTCAGAGAGAGACAGAGACAGTGACAAAGCACCCCTCATGGGGAATGGTCACACCGCAATCCCGTCTTCTCCATTCCTCCTTCTTTCAGGGCTTCGGGCACACGCACACACATGCCCGGCATGTCTTTCAAGCCACCAGATCCTGGACTCTGCCCATACAGCTGACCACGTAGGATCCAGTTGCCTTCGCCACCGCATGGTGGCTGGCCCTAGCTGAATCTTGTATGGACACCATTCATATAAGATAGTTAGGGCTTTTCAAACTTGAATGTATATTTAAAAAATCCTGGGAATTTTTAAAAATGAACTTTTATTTATATTTTATATTTAATCACTAAATGTCTTTACAGTGTACAACATGGTTTTTCCCACGTGAATGCGATGCACGTTAGTCAAGTCAAAGACATTACCATATACACTATCATCAACAGATGCCTATTAAGTGTTTTGGTTTTTTCTCCCTCCTTTCCACTCTTTTACTCACCCACTCCTATACCACCTCTACAGTTGGCCTCCCTGCTATTCTACCTTCCATTCTTCTACTTTCTGCTCTAGAGTGCAGACAGTTGGTATACATTAAGCAGGGACATACAATGGCTATCTTTTTTTCTTTTTTGGAGAAGTTTTTGCTATAGGACGTGTGCGCTCGCCAGACAGACAGAGAGAGAGACAGAGAGACAGAAAGCAAGAAATCACCCCCCAGAGTGGATGGCCACGCCACAATCCCTTCTCCTCCATTCTCCTCTCGGGATCTTGGGCACGCACACACACGCGCCCAGCGTGAGTTTAAGCCACTGGGTCTGGGACTTGAACCGCGGTCGACTATGTGGGAGTCCAGCGACATAGCCATTACACTAACTGCTGGCCCCAACAATGGCTATCTTTAAATGCAGGGTCTGACTCAGTTGGTCTGGGATGGGGCCCGAGTTGCTGCTGATTCTTGGATCACACCTAAATTAGAGGATGAAGCTGGCCCCTACTTATCAGCCATCCAGCCAACCTGCCTGTATGCTCCTGCTATTTCCCTATTGGGCAATTCTTTCCGTAAACTCTGTTCCAAAGCCAGCTTGTGTGAGGCCTTGGTAGTCCTGCAATCCTCCAGACCAGAATTAACCTTCCCCAATCTTATTCTTCTAATGACCTTGCTTTACAACTCTTTCAAAATGCAAATTAAAATTCACTATTACTTTAAGTCACTTTTGTTCTTCTGGCTATCTCAGCCATGAGATTATGACTCTGGAAAAAGAAAACACATCTTATTCATTTTTTTTTTTGAGAGGTTTTTGCCATAGGGCGCGTGTGCTCACCAGACAGAGAGAGACAGAAAATAAGAAATCGCCCCGACAGAGACAGAAAGCGAGAAATCACCCCCCAGGGGGGATGGCCACGCCACAATCCCTTCTCCTCCATTCTCGCGGGATCTTGGGCATGTACACACACACACACTCAGCGTGAGTTTTAAGCCACCGGGTTCGGGACGTGAACCGCGGTTGACTACATGGGAGTCCAGCGACATAGCCATTACGCTAACTGCTGGTCCCGTATTCATCTTTATATCACCCACAATCAACACCTACTAACACCACAAAGTAGAGAGATTCTGGAATCATTTACTGAATTGAATTTGCAGAACCCCACTATGGTCATGTCTCCTACTTGAAAGTTGTTTTTTTTTTTTTTTTTTTTTTTGCAGTTAAGGGAACCGAGGCCAGCAGATGGCATGGTGGCTAAGGATCATATGGCTGATCATGGTACGAATCTGAAACCTTGAAGATCCCACTGAGCATGTGTGCCAGTGTGCCCCAAATCTAGGAGGAGAATAGAGGAGAAGGGATTGTGGCGTGGCGATCCTCCCTGGGGAGCGATTTCTCACTTTCTCTCTCTCTCTGTCTCTGTCTCTCTCTTCAGCGAGCACATGTGCCCTATGGCAAAAACCTTAAAAAGAAGTTAAGGAGATCTAGTCCTTCATATGGCAAATATATACATAACAAGGGAGCCTTTTGTTTTTGTTTTTGTTTTTGTTTCCTTTTGTATTTTTGCCATAGGGCACACGTGCTCACTGGAGAGAGAGGGAAAGTGAGAAAATCACTCCCTGAAGGGGACGGCCACATCACACTCCCTTCTCCTCCATTCTCCTCCCAGGATTTTGGACACACAAGTACATGAACCTGGCATGATGTTCAAGCAACCAGATGTTCGAGTCACAGAGTTGGCCATGTGGGAGCCAGTGCCTTAACCACCATGCTACCCACTGGCTAAAGGGAGCCCGGTTTTCAAATGAGCTGAAGTGACCAGTTCTACCAACTGTTATGGTTTGCATATTCCCCAGAATTTCATGTCAGGTCCAAGGAGGAGCCTTTGGGTGTGATAATGTCAGTCAGGTAGGCGTCCCCCGATGATTGAGTTCTGGCAGGTTGATAAGCAGAGGAAATGAGACCAGGAGAGAGAGCCACATAGATACAGACCACACGCTGCTCTGCTGGAAGGTCTGCCTTCCACCACCTTGTGATGCCTTTGGAGCTTCCAGCCACCAGAATCATGAACTTTGCAAACAAACTTCTAAATCGGCCAGTCTCAGATGTGTCAGCATCACTACAACTGGACTAAGACACTGGCCGACGGAGTTTATCCGTGCAATGAGTGCCGAAGAAAAGAAGCTGAATAATTCTCAGTCGATACCACTGACACCCAATTAACTTTGTGCACACACACAGATGCGGTATGGCAGATACAAACAACAGAAACATACAAACAGAAACAACATAGTACTCTGAGGAGGGCTCCAGGCTTGTTTTGGCCATTACCCAAGATCTGCTCAGACTCTATTGGAAAGGGACGTCTCGTGGACGCTTAGCGTCTTGGGTATGGGGAGCCACAGCATAAGAGGTGATCCAGAATTCACCTCTGCTTCAAATTCCTTTGACTCTGAACCAGAAAGAGCCCCAAACACAACAGGCAATGGGGAAATGAGAAGTCTCACGCTTCCCCTTTGGATAATTTGCTCACAGGATTTTTAAACTTAGAGTCACTTCCTACTGGATTGAAGAGACTAGTTACGTTAGCCCTGGACTCCCTAATGTCTTTATAAATTAACCAGTGTGGTGGGGAGACAAGAGGACTTTGAAAGGATCATGGGGGACCAGGAGATGGTGTAATGGTTACATCACTGAACTCCCACATAGTCGACCATGGTTCAAATCCCGAACCAGTGGCTTAAAACTCATACCAGGTGCATGCACATGTGTGTGTACTCAAAACCCTGAGAGGAGAATGCAGGAGAAGGAATTGTGGCATGACCATACCCCTGTGGTGGGGGTGATTTCTTGCTTTCCGTCTCTCCATCTCTCTCTTTCTCTCAGCAAGCATATGTGCCCTATAGCAAAAATTTCTCTCTCTCTCTAAAAAAAAAGGAAAAAAAAAACAAAGTGGAGCTGGCAGATGGAAAAGAAGTTAAATCATTCTCAGTTGACACCATTGACTGACTGTGACTGGTGGTTAAGGCACTGAACTCCCATATGAAAGACTGCGGTTCAAGTCCTGGACCTGATGGCTTACTTTCTCTCTCTCTCTCATTTTTGTCTCTCTCTCTCTCACTCTCTCTGGTGAACATGTGTGCCCTGCAGCAAATTAAAAATAATAATAATAAATAACATTAGATAAATAGTTCTAAAAAATTATGGAAATTACTATTAAAGTATAAGTTTATTTTGGTGCAAAACATTCTGAAATGCATAATTGTTTCATAATATGCATTTTTCATAACTTTTCAAAAGCATACTTTTTCTTTAAAGGATACTTTCTAAAAGAATGATTTTGTTTAAATCCTTAAAGAAGAACCCTGACACTCTGAAAATGAGCAGTGCTCAGATCGAGGACATGGACAATGCAGTCACTGCCAGAGTTTAGAGCGACTCTCGTCCCTTCTCCTGTCCCTCCTCTAAGTGACACATCTTCTCCCTTGTCATAGGCTCTGTTTCTGCTCCACCAAGACCCAGTTCAAATGCCCTCAGTTCAAAATCAAGTTAACAGTCACCGTGTACTATCCATTGAGTACTCTGTGCTGCTAAGAGCTTTCAGAACCCCACATCCACAGCTGGCCAGCTGTATACAATAGTTGCATGGGCGCTAATGTAAACAGAAGAGATGTGGGTCTGGTTAGCATATGGTTATGGCTTTGGCTCAATACAGGAAAAACACATAAGGGAAAGAAAATTTCCGTCCCCTCGTCCTTAGTATGGCTGAGGCTCTACACAACAACTACATAATAGAATACTGAGAATTTCATTTCAGCAATATACAGTGCAAATAAGGAAAAGAGTGCGGTCTCTACCTGCTCCTGGGAGGCCTCTCATTCCAGGGAGCCCCATGGCTCCTTCTGGCCCTCTTGGGCCCGGCACCCCGGGAAGCCCAGGGATTCGGGGGCAGGCATCCACATCTGCTGGTGGCCCAGGATCACCTGAAATTGAAATCACCACTTCATGAAGGAGTCTAAAGCTTATAGACAAGCTCTTCTGAGGTTTTTGGTTCGCGGTGGACTTTGGGAACCTCACAGAAATGGTCAGAAATGGTAAGAGATGCGTCCACAGTCCAGGCTAAGATCCATGAAGACTGGAACCTAGTTTGCTTCCTGCAGGGTACAAGAGAAACTACCGGAAAGCATTTGCTGAATAAATGAATGAATGGAACATCAGAGGAAGCAGAAGGAAGAATCAGTAAACAAAGACAGGCAGAGGCTGTAAAATGTAATGGCTGTCACAGGATTTCTAATCTTTGGGTCTTCATTTTTTTACCAGGATGCCGGCCACAGGTGGCATTGCAAGAGGACTCACAGGTTTCTAACACTCAATGAGTAATGAGTCATAAAAATATATTGGGTTGGGAGCAGCAGTTGGTGTCATGGCTATACCGCTGGACTCCCATGTAGTTGACTGAGGTTCAAGTCCCAGACCCGGTGGCTTAAACTCATGCCAGGTTTGTGTGCGTTCATGCCCAAGATCTTGAGAGGAGAATGGAGGAGAAGGGATTGTGGCATGGCCATTCCTCCTGGGGGGGTGATTTCTCACTTTCTGTCTCTCTCTGTCTTTCTGGCAAGCGCACATGCCCTATAGTAAAAACCTCTCAAAAAAAAAAAAAGAAGAAGAAATATATATGCACACACATATATAGGGTCATACAAAAAGTCATGACATATTTTCTGCATGCAAAAACTCAAGATGACTTTTCCAATGACCCAATAACATATGGATACCTAGGTCTTGCCCCTGGAAACACCAGTTTACTTGATAATAGGATGGACTGGGCAGTGCCCTCGGGTTTGACCCTACAGTAATCCTACCTGGAAGCTTTCCCGAGGCACTGAGGCTGAGACCCCATCTAAACTTACTAAATAAGAATTTCTGAGGGTAGGACCCTGGCATGGTTAGGTTTTTCAAATCCTGAGATGACGCCAGTGTCAGCCAGATCTAAGAAGCACCATGACGATGCTGTTTCTCTGACTTTAGCACAGCAGAATCGTTTGGCCAGTTTGTTAGAAACCAGAGCTTGAGTCAGGAGGCCTGAGGGGAGGCCCCACCTCTGAGTGTCTACCATGTGCCCAGGGCAGGCTGAGGGTATTGACCTGGGAGTCTCACTTTGAGAACCACTGCTTCGAAGGGTGGAGATTTTCTTCTTCTTGGTTACAGCCACATCTTTATGATTTTATTTCCCTAAACCTTCATTCATTGCCCTTCAAATGTCCCACAATGATAAGAAATAACAATATTGAGCAATAATGATAAACACAACTAACATGATATGTAATGTTTTGTTTTAGTTTTTTGTCATAGGGAGCATGCAGTCAAGGGAGAGACAGAAAGAGACTGTGAGAAGTAAAGTGAGAAATCACCCCTGGGGGTGGCTATGCTGCAATCCCTCCTCCTCCTGGGATTCTGGGGGTATAAGCACACATGCCCAACGTGATTTTCAAGTTGCTGGGTCTGAGACTTGAATCCTGTAAGCCATCTGGGAGTCTGGTGCCTTAACCCCCAAGCCACTTGCTATTTTATCATGTATCAGGCCCTATGCCAAGTGCTTTACTATTCTGTCCTCTCAGCAAGACTGTTTGTGTGTGCTACTGTTATTAGAATGCTACAGATGAGACAATTCAGGCTCAGGTGGGTAACTGACTTATCTAGTGTCATACAGCTAGCACATTGCTGAGCCCAGAAAATCCAGGATGTCCTGGCTCCAAACTCATGCTCTTAGTCACCACATCATACTGCCCCAAGCACTCTTACTAGTTGTGCAATAAGTTCTAAGAAATAAAACGTATTTTAGAATGCACTATTAATATTTGATCAGTTATAGTTTTCTTAAAATACATACGAATATACCAAATCATTTTCAAATAATTATTTATTTATTGTTATTTATTATTATTTTAATTTGCTACAGGGCACATTCACTCAACAGAGAGAGAGAGAGAGAGATAAAGTAACAAAGCAAGCCACCAGGTCCAAGACTCGAACCATGGTTGGCCATGTGAGAATCCAGTGCCTTAACCATCATGCCACCTGCTGGTTCCAAATATGCATAATAATTTTAAGAACATCAGTGATAGAGCTACAAGAACATCCTAGAAAAATGTAGCGTAATGACAAAGTTTTAGTCTATGTAACACTTAATGTGTGAGTGCGAAATGGACTTGAACCCGGTCCTGTCTGGAATGTGACCTCCCGTGAACTCTGGTGTGAAACCGCGCAGCACAGGGCCCGACGTGCATGTGACCCCCCGTGAACTCTGGTGTGAAACCGCGCAGCACAGGGCCCGACGTGCATGTGACCCCCTGTGAACTCTGGTGTGAAGCCGCACAGCACAGGGCCCGACGTGCTCTTACACTATGTGCAGTTTAGGAGACTTGACTCTTTCTCGATGGGTGACTTTAAAGGAACACATTGGGACATCTCCTATTCTCCCTGAATACTTTGGGCCTTTCCCAGGGTGGCAAGTGGAACCTTTGGCTGGTTCTTTATACTCAAGATATTTTTTCTTAAGAGAGATTTTTGCTATAGGGCACGTGTGCTCACCAGAGAGACAGAGAGAGACAGAGAGACAGGAAGT